CGAGAGAAGTAGATTTTTATTATTTATCCGCCATTTTTGCCTAAATTAATGCAGTAAGTAGGAACATTTAATGGGCAACTGTTAGTTGTCTGTTAAGTGCCACTGTTCAACATTAAACACTACTGTTACCACCCAGCCGCAGCACAGTGTTGCTTTTTTAAACATATTGACACATGCACATACATTTTTGTATAAACATTGGTGTATATATTATTGTAAATATATATATTATGGCAATTCTTAAAAAGTCATATGCACAATTTTCAGTCTCACTCCCTCATTCGATACTATTATGGTAATAGATTATATTAATAAATAGATATAGATAGATAGATAAAGAAAACTGACACATACTGGTCCAGCCGACGCTTATAGGAAGTATGTGGAAAATTGGATTACGCGTTAGCATTCTTGTATTGACTCAAAAGGAGCCTATTTTAAAGTCGATAATAAAGAGTTGTGAAAATGAACGTGAAAATGTTACCAGTTCGGGAGAAATTTGATCATATAATAATTTAAAATGATTTCCTATAGCGCCAAGCAACTAGTCTTTTTCTTTCTACAAAATAACTATTAGACGTCTGCCCATTTGTTGAAAAAAATTTATATATATTCAGTGTGCCTTCTAAAATCTAAAATGTTAAATGTTACCCACTGAGACTCATTTAAATTTGTTCCTATCAGACACATACATATAAGTCAAGAACTAACATAAAGCCGTTTCGATTATATGTCTGACTTGTAATATATTTTCAAAATTTGCCAATTATTTAGAGACCACCCTAATGTAAAAACAAAGTATATGTTCTTTGTTACTGTAAAAAAGTTCCGCCCAATCGTGCTAAGTGTTTTAATTAACATGTCTGCCGCCATACTTGCCAAGCATAATATTGTTGTTATGACTATCACCGGCATATTAGTAATCATTCATAGGCTTTCTTTCGCTCATAGCGCTGTCTTTGTATTTTTCTTAGTGTAACTAACAGTTCTTTGTAATTAAATGCAATAAATAAAATTTAAACAAAATTTAGAAATATTCAATTAAAAAAATTCTTCCTTCAATGCAAAAATCTCTTCCAGCATTCTTGTAAACTACTCTTAAACATTTTTGAATAATTTTTCTACACTTTATATATAATTTTATTCCCTCATAAATATTTGTTCTTAATAAAATATCATTCAACTTGTATTTAATGCTTTAGTTGTGCTACGCCCATGTATTGTAGTTAATTTTTATTTTAGGCTTTCATCTAAGTTGAAGCATCTTTTTCATCATTCGACTTGCACAAATTAACAGCCCCCCCCCCCAACCGCTGACATCCACAGTTGTCCAACACTTGATGTGGTTAGTTAGTTAATTACTACTAAAAGGATAATCATGTCGCAGCCTAGAAGTGCGTTAATGCGTTTTTCTCATTTATTTAAGAAGTATTTGCACTAACTCTCCCAGCCCTTTACATATTTTTTTCACGTTCACTTATATTCTTTTTGTTTATTGTGCTGTATTCCTTCTCTTTTATAGTGGCGCTAAGAGTATAGGAGTTTATGTGTATTTCGCAAATAAATATTTTGTAGATTATTTACTTTGATTCTTTCTCAGAGAGTTCTTTCTTAAACTTTCAAATATGCCTAGGGTCTTAAAAATGCAAAAGTTGTTATTCCTCCAATCAACAATGGTAGAAATAAGTAGTGGTGAAAAAACTCTCAAGCCAGTCGACCTAACTCATTTGGTACATGCTAAATAAAAGAAAAATTTGATAAAAATCCCATTTTTAATTAGCATAAAATAACAGAGGTTAAAGAATTTCGGAGAAAACCCGGTATCTACTTGGTAGTGAAATTATTTAATGAATTTCGTCCCTAACTTCATCTATTCACATCTTATAAACGATGTAGAGTTGGAAACTGCGAATTTCCATAACCGTTGAAGAACTCATTCATACAAAAAATTAAATACTTTATATTACCTTTTTATAATTCCGAAGATACATATTTGGTAAAGATTTTGTGAAATTTTCAAAAGAAAATATTCAAAACTCGGTTATTGCGACTTCTTTTCCGACAGTCGCTCTGAAAAAAGGCGCATTGACAGCAGAACTTCTAATAAGATCCTCAAAAGTTAAAAGAAAAACATACGTGTTTGAACTTAGACTATAAACTAGGCATTGGACGGAGAAAAAAACAAATGAAGTGAAAATGGTATTTTTGACAGACGTTTTTACAAAAAAATGCAAATTTTGGTGAACATTTCTCGAATTAAATAGTTGTTATTGAACAAAACAAGAATCCTCCACGGCAAGCCCTTGTAAGTTACATTTCAAATACCTGTGTAAAATTTCATTAAGAGCGGTTGCATAGTTCGCAAGACATCTTGAAAACCGACTTTGGAAACACATTTTCGAGAAAAACGCGTTTAAAGTTTTAAGTGCCTATATAGCTGACCTCGAGCGCGCAACTTTTCAAAGCTGTGCCTTCAAAACTATTACTGGGATCAACTTGAGAATTAAGAACAATATTCCAGAAATGTTATAGATTTAACTAAGACAATACAATTTTTTTGTTTGTTTTTTGAAGCCGCGAAACCCATGTAACCTCTTAAAAGTTTATCTACATTCTGAAAAAGCTTTAAGCTCAATAAAAATTGCATAAATAAATTTGAAACTTACAAAAAAATAATTTTTAAAATTTTCATTTATTAATTTGAAACCTTTGCTCCTTTAATAAAAAATCTTAATGTTACCAATAAATATGCACGAAAAATCATAAGCAAGTTGACTCAAAGCGATGTTATTAACTTATAGCTGATTTCACTCGATATGATATGCTAAACCCGGTTTCCACAGTACTCCACTGCTCATCACTATTAAAGTACATCTGATACGGTGCGCTTGCTAAAAAATTTAAAGCAGTTAACAGTAAATTGTGTTTTCATAAGAGCTTCCTATAACATACCAATTAGTTCCTGACCGGCGGTCAGAGCCTGTCCACAAAAGTAGGTCGGCTGCATGCTTGCATCGTCTTTAAATATCGCATTCCATATCATGAGATAATCGTTTTGTCGACCATCGGTTAATATCATCGGGTGACAATTTTCGTCGTAGAAATTATTAGTTTGCTCCGATGATAAAGAAAACCTATTCACTGTGTATCTGAAATTTATTAAAAAAAAAAAAAAAATTATGAAAACAGAATATTTCTCTCAAGCCTTATGCGACACTTACTCGATCACCGAAGACCCGGGCAACGGTCTTATACAGATTGTATATTGTAGATTTTGCATATAATATATATCTCCGAAGCTTTTAATTGTACCTGTCGGTTGACGGAAGTACTGACTACAGCCGGTTGGCGCTAGTAATTCCCAATCGCTATGTTTCGCTGAGAATATCTTACGTATATCTTGTAAGTTTGTTTGACCCATGAATGGCATTACCATACTGTTGGCCCCGAAACGGTTCCTTGGCTGTGGACACTCCAGTTGTGTGATCACCAAATTCCATGAGGATTGTGCCCATTTTGTTGAAAATGAAAATTCCAATGTAACTTGCGTGGCACCCGCCGCAACATCGTAGGGCAAATATATATGTTGACCACTATTTTCGCCGCATATCGTAAAGCTGCCAACTGTAAATCTGTCACCGCAAGTTGAGGTGCCAAGAGTCGCATCATTGGTCGGTTGATTCAATTCGAACTGTTCAAACTCAATGAGTAACTGACAAACATTGCTGCTGTAGGGCGCAATCACATATTGGCACACGTTCGGTAGTTGAATGGGATTTTTGATGATTATACGCTTAGAGCTGGAAATTTGGCCACATTGTAGATTTGCTAGAAATGCAAAGCGGGGTGAAATGTGAAAAAGTGAAAAAATTACTTTGTATTATATAATGTGGTTTACTACAAGAGACGTCTTTTAAGTATTTGTAAAATTTTTTCAAAAGAAATTGAAAATAGTATAATTTTGATTATAAAAATAATATTATGTTTATATGTACCTATATGAAAGTTTCAAATTTTTATTTTTATTAATTATTTTAGACGTGCTTTTATGATAAAAATTATAATTATAAATTCAAATGTTCTACACGTCTCTCCTGAATAATTTCTTTGAGTAGAAGTGGTAAGGCTAATCTGAGAGCTCTCAAAAATACATACATAGGTCTAACTTTGATTATTTGCTTTTGGAGTAAGAAAAAGAGAATCGAATTTCTCTCTTTCAGAACTCTCAGTATATATTTGATGTGCATATAGAATATAAAAAATTTATATAGAAATTTGGTGATAAAACGGCTGGTATTGGAACCATCTTCGGTATTACCTTTTTAAAGATGGTCTTTAAGGGCGACGGTGATTCTAGGAACTCGTGCTTTCTTAAAACAATAAAATGTCCATATCTCAAGTTACACAAGATATACTAGTAAAGTAGTTAGGCTTTTAGGTTAAGGTTAGTTTGTTCACATAAATATTTGCCAAAATGACGAGCTTGTAAAAAAGTTTACATTTTCGATCGGAAAAATAGGCAGTAAAAAATGAGAAAAACTCATTGACTGACCCAACCGCTTCGGCACTACAACGGGTTGGGCAGAAAAACATCTTCGTACTATTTTACCAATTGAATAATGGTTTTAAGACCCTACAGTATACTTTAAGCTAGAAAAAATTGTTTTTGTTTTTTGAATAACTTTGACAGGCTGTCCCTTAAAGAGAAGATATCGACGAGCTTTTACATAATTATTTTTGGAATTAATGAAAATTTAGAAAAAAGATCATTCAAAAGTATTTTTTAACAAATATGCCACATCGAATGTTTTGTATAAACAAATGCCGCTTTGAGTTCAACCTTTTTGCTTAACTTCATCTTCACTTCAAAACCTGCGGCAGAACTCTGAGTAGTATTTTTGAAACAATAACAATAAATAATAAATTTTTTATTTGGTACAAATAGACGTGTTTATGATTCCAACTAATCTCCCGTCGTGTTCGACATGATGCATATAATATTTTTTTATAACTCTTGTGTTAAGGTTTTTCTTTGGTTTGGAATCGTAAATCCTGGTTCGAGCCGCTAGTCTTTAGAAGCATGTGTGCTATTAAACTAAAAACAAGAAGATTGCGTATACATACTATATCTAACTGTAAATTTCTTCAAATATCGAGAGCCCATGCTTAGTATTGGACATTGAGCTAAACTTGCAGAACTCTTCGAGGCATATGTTAATGTTGGATATCAATTTCAGAACTTTTCTCAACATTTTCATGTTGGGAACTACTTATTAACTTTTGAAATCTTTAAGCATTTTTTTTAAAATAATTTTTAGAAAATTGCAATTCACTCACTTTCACAACACACGCCATAGGTGCTGCAGTATCCTTTCGGCATGCCACCCTGACGCATACAATTAAAGCGCGACAAACAAGTGCCCGATGTGCCTTCGTTTGTGGTGCAAGCATTGCTGGCCG